CCACAAAAATGCTGACAGCTGTCAATCAATCAATGCTGCTGATCAATTCCGATTGAACAACAACCAAAGCATACCCTCTCACAACAAAGAAACAAGAAAAAAATGACACTTTTACACTTTTTCCATTCACATATATATATATATATATATATATATACACACACACACACACACACACATGTCTGGTCAGCTATCCTTGTGGGGACTCTCCACAGGCGTAATGGTTTTTATACTGTACAGACCGTATATTCTATTGCCCTACACCAACCCTACCCCTAAACCTACCCCTCACAGGAAACTTTCTGCATTTTTAGATTTTCAAAAAACTTAATTCTGTGTGATTTATTAGCTTGTTTACCCGTGGGGACTTCAATTTAGGATCCCACCGTGACACGAGTCCCCATGAGTCTGTGTGTATTCAGGCTTAAGTCCCCACCAGAATAGAAAAACAGGTACACACATTACACACACACACACACACACACACACACAGGAGCATACATACTGAACTCTCTGAAACTAATTTTTCATTTGAATCATAGGTTAATAACATTCAGCACATATAGAAAATTATTTATTTAGTACACAAACAGAAGTTTTAGAATTTCTTTTAGTTTGGTTAATTAATGCCAAAATAAATGTTCAATGCATTTTGCAAACGTTTGCTTAATAGATATAAACCAAAATTAAATGTGCCCGGGCTGCCTTACAGTGCTTTAATTTCCATTCTTTAAAGGTTACCTCTAATAAGCTTACCTCTAATAAGACTTTTTAGTGTGCCTTCTCAGATATGCGCCAAACTAAAGAAACTCCAGGTGGACTGACTCAGGAGTTGTCGGAAATAAATGACAACAGTCGTTCTGTTTGTCGGATAAAATGCCAAAAATAATCAAGTAAGGAGTGAGGCAGGATGTCCCCAGCAGTCTCCGTGCACTGACAGCTCTCCAGAATCACTCCGCGTCTGTCTACGAAGCGTGAAAGATGACGTCACAGAGCGCACCAAGACGGATTGTGGGTAATGTAGTCAAGCCCATTAGTCCTTCACTATCACTTTACTTTTGTTTTTGTTGCAGGAAGTATATAATTGTATAACTAACATTTGTTAGCAACTTAAATAACTCTGTTAGCAACTTTACATCTTCACCATTTAAATTAACAGTACAGAATAGAATAGAATGGAATAGGCTAAAGAATAGCACAGCGCAAAAGAACAAAGTTAGAGTGTACTAGAATAGAATAGAATAGAATAGAATAGATTAGAAGGGAAGGGAATGTGGCATACAATAGCATGAGTGAGATATAAAAGTTGTAGCATAACAGAATAGAATAGAATAGAATGTAACAGACTGACTAGATTAGAACATGATATCAAAATAGAATAGAACAGAATAGAATGTTAATTAGGCTATATTCGAAGAAACAGACTAGTTTAGATCATATAGCAAAATAATAGTATAGAATACAATACAATACAATAGAATGTGGCATATAATACTATAAAACATAATAGACTGTAGCATAATATGGCATAATATAATAAAGTATAATTAGACTAGATTAGAAGAAACAAACTAGTTAAGAACACTTAGCTAAATATTATAGAAAAATAGAATAGGATAGAATGTGGCATATAATAATATAAATATTATTAATAGCATATTATGGCATAATAGAATAGAATGTAAATTAAACTCGATCAGAAGAAACAGACAATAGAATAGAAAAGAATGTGGAATATAATAGCATAAGATATAATAGTTTGTAGCATAATATGGCATTATAGAACAGAATAGAATAGAATGTAACACAATAGATTAAAAAACATATAGCAAAATAGAATAGAAAATAATAGAACAGAATAGATCTTAAAATGTGGTAAAAAAACAAACAAACAGGGTGACATCATTGTTGTTCAGTCCGACAGCAACCCATAAAAGTGTGTTTGACTAAGCGAGTGTTTGTCATGCAGTGATAGTGTGTCATTGTGGTGTGTTGAATCGCACAGTTTAACCTTTAGTCTCTCTTCAGACCAAGCAATCCCCAAATTACCCTTTAAAGTGAGTCAGATCCCAACACACAGCAACAGCATTCAAACCCTTCCTTCATCCGTCCGCCGTAGGCAAAGCCATGAGCCTGGCAGAGGCACTAATCTGCATCTGTTCTATTTCATATCTGTCTGTGTCTGACCGTCTGTCTGTCTGCCCAGCCCACCCCTCTCTCTCAGAGCACATTACGCCCCGGGGACATTTTTTTTCACCAGATGTTCCTCTAAAGGAACTACTTCAGCATGGGTTTGTTGCCACAGTTGCAACTCAACACACAGCAACATAGCAACCGTCCCACACCGACTGCTCTGAACTTCAATGGGTGCGCGCCGCCTCTCTGCCACGGCCTTACATAATGAAAATGTTATGCTAACGCAAGGCAAATATTAAGTTACTCCAGCTGCCAAGGGCTTGTTGTCATGCTGTCATGGAGACAGTTGCCATGAGTATGAGTGTGTTTACACTGTGTTTTAAATACCCTGAACTTGGACTGGGGAGGGAAACAAAAGGACTGCTTGGCCGGAGTCCTGATGTCTGAGTGTGTGTGTGTGTGTGTGTGTGTGTGTATGCTATAGCTGGGCGTAGGAGATAGAAAAGAGAGATATTGCATTAGAAGTCTTTGTCTGTGTAACACATTAGATTGTTGTCTTCGTGAGTCTATAGATCTCAAACCGGTCGTGCACCATAGGCACAAAACAGTGAACCATGACACAGCAGAGCTTTATGATTTAGTTTACAACCCTTTACAAAGGATTCAAATAAAACTGACACGCTTTTAAACTTGAATAAGGCAGCAGGTTGTTGGTAACAAATGCAATGAGGAGATGTTTGGAGATCAGTTTGCTTTGAGAGTCTTTTGGTTGATGTAGGTCATGCAGAGAGAACATCATGTACTTGGTGGTTATATATAATAATATGTTTTGTTTACTATTTTTTAAATTTTCTTTTATATAAAAGTAGACAGACAGTTGGACAGATAGATAGACAGACAGACAGACAGACAGATAGATATATAGATAGACAGACAGACAGATAGAAAGACAGACAGATGGATAGACAGAAAGACAAAGAGACAGACAGATAGATATATAGATTAGGTGTTTTAGTGGGTGTGAAGTAAAGGCAGAAACTAAAATATTGCTCTATACTGCCACCTGCTGTATATAAACTCACAACACAACATATGTGACGGGTGTCTGTTTTTGTGCTGCCTTTACCTTTATTTAGACCAGGGGTCACCAGACTCGGTCCTGGAGGGCCGGTGTCCTGCAGAGTTTAGCTCCAACCCTAATTAACACACCTGAACCTGCTAATCAAGGTCATACTAGGTATACTTGAAACTTGCAGGCAGGTGTGTTGAGGCAAGTTGGAGATAAACTCTGCAGGACACCGGCCCTCCAGGATCAAGTTTGGTGACCCCTGATTTAGACGGACAGCTTATCAGTCCTGTGAACATCACAACGGCCAAAATATGACTTTCTTTGAAATTCACTGTGTGAAATGCCACTTCGTTCAGTCCAAAGTCCTCCGTCGGCATAAATGCCGCGTAAACATAAAACCATGTCTGCATTTGTGATCGGAGAAATGACAAACTACAAACACTACTCTACACTGCCCAAAACTCACGTTTGGAGTTTACAGTCTGTGAGTCAGAACAGCCGGCATTGTAGGCTACTCTCAGGAAACAGTCCTCCATAAGATGTGTTGCACACATCTGAATATTTGGGTTGAACTGTTCTGGAACAGTGTTGTAAATAAAACTTAACCACTGATTTCTAGTCGTGTCCTCTTTTGGAAGACCAAACAAAGTAGTTTCGCTTTCACAACGAAACACACAACGAAACACACAGCGGGCTTGAGTGAGCGGAGGCCGGCGCCTAGAGTGAGGAACGGCCGGAGGGCTTGCGGCAACCACATGTGACGACTCTTTATGCACCAAGAGCTTGTAACACTCCAAAGAGAAAGGAAAAATTTAAATCGCATCATATGACCCCTTTAAATGTTTCCCGGGATCGTTCGCAGAAGTTTGGCTAACGTTCTGGCAAGGTTCTCTAAGTTATGAACAAACATTCTTCCAGTAAAGTTAATAGAATACTTGTTCAACGTTATCTGGCTATTAATAATAAAAAAAAACATTGTTAACATCAGCACACACACACACACACAAAAAACGTATTTATACATTGTTGAAAGAACACCTTTTTTTTCTGAGCCGTTTTAGCTGGATGTCCATTTAACCTGTTACTTACTTCCTGTTTTCTGTTCAGAGAACATTTAAAAGTAAAAAAAAAAAAAAACAGCCTAAACTGGTTGGCTGGTCCTAGATGGTTTAAGATGGAAGTAGCTGGTCTCCCAGCCTGACCAGCTAAAGCAGTGGCCAAAACCCTCTAAAACCAGCCTGCAAACCAGCTATGACCAGGCTGGATGACCAGCTAAAACCAGCCAACCCATAATGTTTGCAAACTCATAAAAATGTAAAAAGTTTCATATAACCAAGACATTTTTTTTATTTTATTAAAAACCGGACGTTCAGAAATAAAATGGTAGCAAAACATTCTTAAAATATATTTTGTTTAGTTGGGTACCATGTTGCACATTAAAAAAAAAAAAAGTTTTACAGCATTATAGCATTATGTCCAAAAATATACAGTAGTAGGCTACCATGTTACTTTTAGTTTAGTTAGATGGCAGGCCATTTTTTCATGCACTGCATTAACATACCTTGATTTTCAAAATATACCTTGCAAATTTAGGAATTTTACTGTGAGCTTTTGAACAGGTGCTGAGTTTGCAAGAACATGCTGATCAAATATTATATTTAACTTGATATTTTAAAAGTCGCTTCAAACACTATATAATGACGTAAAAGAAAAAGAAACTATTCTCAGTCCCAGGGCGATAAACACAGATTAAAGTCATTAGAGTTGATTACATTTCAAGACAAGCGCTCGGATTAACATCCTGCCAACGTCACAATGCAAAACCTGCTGGGCGCGCGCTGATTGGACGGACGATTCTTTCTGCGTTGCTCCGCTGCCTGCTGGAAATAATACATGCGAACCGAGCGGATCAGTGTCCTGGATTCCGAACCGAACCCGAGCGCTCGGGCTTCTCGTGGTGGATCTGCGTGGAAGATGGCGGAGTTGAGCGCAGTCCGACAGGAACTTGTGAGTATTTTCATTCTGGGGACTGGAAGCCGTGTGTCCTGCTTCACACACGGAAACAAGATTGTCAGCAGTGCGAACTAGACTAGAGAATACGCACGTATTGATGTTTTAAAGGAATAGTATACCAAAAATTAATAGCCATCATTTACTTACCCTCGTGTCCTTCCAATCCAAGCATGTATAAACCTACTTAATCCTGTGATACACGAAAGGTGATGTTTAGCAGAACGTTAACATTTCTTTTACAATGGAAGTGAATGGGGACTGGAGCTCAAACATGGCAAAAAAAAAAAAAGTAGGTTGCGTACGACTCATGCGCTATATTGTCTTATGAAGCGACACAGTAGTTTTGTGTGAGGAACAAATTTGGTGCATAAACACAAGTTAGTTTTCAGTTATGTCAATTGTCATTGGTCGTTAGATGTCTTGATAGTCTCCTGCCAACTGGACAAATAGTCCAGCAGCATGGACAAATTTTCAATGAACAATGGTTTAAATTCAGAAGACTTGGAATATAGTTCATATGGGGTACTTTTGCAATATTTTTTGGTGCTTTTCGTCCTTTGGGGGCTTGACAGCTCCAGACCCAAAATCAGCTTGGATATTGTGCATTTGTGTGTTCTCTGTATCATTACAGTTTAGCTGGATATTTGTATGTGAATCAGTATTTCCACCTGTGCTGTGTATCATATCAATACGTGTAATTTGCATGTTTTTTGCACAAACGGCTGCCTCTTCACTTCCTGGTTGTGCTTTATCCGCTGCAGAGAAACAGAAATCTGAGCAGTTCTTTTGGGGAGCCTCTGTGTACGTCACCACAAAAAGATGAGCAACAGAAACTGGTAATGACCTGACAGACTGGGTTTTGTTTGTATGTGCATGTTGTTTTGTCTCATGACGCTGTGCTGTGTTTGACAGGCCGTGCCATTCTGCGGCGGCATCCGGGGAGGAATGAGGCCGGGGAAGAAAATCACGATCATGGGCGTCGTGAACGCAGATCCGGACAGGTAGCTTATGTAACACACACACACACACACACACACACACACACACACCTGTAAGTGCTCACACACGTGCGGGACACACCCTGAGAGACACAGCTGTCATGTGCTTCATCGTATCTGTATAACTTAAGTGATCAAAGCTTCTAGCTAGTTAACTAGGAATGAGGTTTGACAGAAAAGCAGCGTCTAGATGATGACCTCCTGTATTCTGTTGTTTCGGTTCATTCAGTTGCTAATTTGAACTCAATGTTGAATGTTTCTGCTCTCTCTCTTTCGTGCAGTTTTGATATCAGTCTGACGTGCGGATGCGGGGACGTCGCTCTGGATATGTGCGTACAGTTCGAAGACCGGGAGATTTTGCGAAACGCCTGCATTTCTGATAGCTGGGGCGAGGAGGAGAGGTCAATACCCTACTTCCCCTTCATCGCAGAGCAGCCTTTCAGGGTCAGTGTCTTCATCAGCATCATCTGAACTCAGATGAATGACGTCATATGTTGTGTAGGGATATGCACTTGCAAAACTGAATGGTTGGCTGTCTACTACTAAATAGTTGACTTGTTGGAGATAATAAGGGCTTGTTAAACCTATAAACCCTGACATATGTAAAAATCTTTTTATTGGAACATTTAAAAGTTTGCATGCGTTTTTTGTTGAATATCATATTTGATACATCAGGCTTTTATGGCTCATATAGTATGATATAGTGAAAATATCGAGGAAAGGGGCCCAAACTAAGGAAAAATTTGCAATTTGGTGCAGTTCCTGATGTTTATAAGGTCAAAAAGTAAGATAAAAATGGATAGCTTGTAATGTAAATCAATGAGATCTTTATAACAGTATAGCAGATACTTACAAAAAATGCTACAAGTATCTTTGTCACTCTATATCGCCAATAATGTGTCTTGCTTAGTTTTATGTTCAAAGCTCTTTAGTTTTGAAACATATAACTCAATGCATTACATTGATGATTGAGAGATAAACAAATAAACGTTCCTCAAAAGCCTGATGATCATATTTGATACTGACTTGGGGGACGTTTTTACAATCACACTAAAAGGCATTTTACTTGCTTAAAAAGTCTTATCTATCAACCAGACGACAGAAGGCATGTAGTAGATTGTGTGCAACAGCAAAGTTTTGATCATGTTTATCTTTAGAGACCTTTGCGTATCAAATATGATATAGTCGGCTTTATAGGTTTATTTTAGGCTGGTTTAGGGCCATGCCAACTGAACACCACTGTGCAACGTCTTGAATGCAATGTTGATTCATTTAAATAGAAGCGTCTGCCAATTGCTTAAATGTAAATCTATAGAGTGACTTGTGAATATTCAACACATAAACAGGCAGAATAACCATTTATGTCACATGGTCCTTACAAAACAGCCGGAACACACATATTAGACAGGAACATGAACATGCAATTTGAAGTTGTAGCTGAATTAATTTGCCGAGTCTCCTGTTCTAATGGCGTTTGTTTTCTCTCTGTGTTGTTGTTCAGGTTGAGATCCATTGTGAGCACCCGCGCTTCCGTGTGCTGGTGGACGGCCATCAGCTCATTGACTTCTACCATCGCGTGATGCCGCTGGCGGCCATCGACACCATACAGATCAGCGGCAGTCTGACCATCACCAAGCTCAACTGATGTCTGCTGCGTCACATGAAAGCAGCTTCCCCACCAGCCCATCCGTTCTGAGCATTAAAGACTGTCTGCGATACTGAAGGACGCTTCAGAATCATCTAGAACTGATGATTGAACTCAACTTGAAACCGCATTTTGAGCTATAAGGAGGCATTTATTTTTATGAGCATTACAATTCGCTGTAGGCAACATGAAACACCATTTGCAACCCATTTATTTTGTTTTTTGAGTGCAACAGGATATTAAAATAGAAAAAAACATAGAGTGGGATTGATTTCCTTCCATCAGGATTACGAAAAGTGGGTGTTCAGTACTAGAAGATTGGCTAAATAACTATGTGGCTGTTGGTTAAGTGACGTATTTTTGTAGTCCGACCCATAAGTTTGCAATGCATCATCCTGGTACTTTGACAAAAACCCAATAGGATTTTTCCATTGGCTTTTGGATTGTTGCAGAAAAATAAGCTCTGTGACCTACAAATGTTTGATTTTTACACGTTTTGTTCATTATGATAAATTTTGAATTCTAAATATAATCGCCGAAAGTAAAAAACTGTGTAAGTGCAAACGAACTAAAAAGCGATCGTGTGACTTGAACTTCACCATCACTAAGATTCATACAGCTCTTTCAGTCTTTCTTTAAAAACATTTCCCTGAAAGTTTGAGTTGGAACAGTTCACGAGAGCACAATGAGGCTGTGAAAGCGACTAGTGAGTAGATGAGTTACCTGGTTGACTTGATGACATTTAATGTCCCTGACAGCCTTTGTAGCCCATTGAGCCACTTGTTAGCAACCGCATTAAAACGTGAACATATCCTGAGCTTGTGTTCAACACAGATCTTATTTTAGGCGTTTAACCAAAAACCCATTAAAAAAAAAAAAAAAGCATTGACTTCAGGACAATGAGCCAACAAAAATTAACCAAATTGGCTTACAAAAATACGTCATCCCTGCAGCACTCTCGTAAGTGACAGCAGTAGAGATATGAGACAAAATATTAAACATACCATTAAGTCAATCACAATAAGACCAAGAGCATGCATTCAGACGGCAAAAAAACGGTCCGTTTGGATTTCATGTTGGCTTTACGGCGTTAAAGTGGAGATGAGAGAAATGGAGAAATGTAAGATGAATGTTGCCGTCAATAGTGATAAAACTGAGTTCAGATACAGATGCTGAACTAACAACAGAGCGCTTGAAAGCGTACAGCTTCAGTCAATAGCTATTTATGAACGTACTGCCTGAATTTATTTATTTTAAGGTTAATTTACTTCCTAAATACGCGTTTATAAACTAAACGGTGCTGTGAGAGTTGCAGCAATAGTGATCTTTCCATTGTAATTCCATTGACAAGCACCTAAACATACTTAAAAGCAATGCATTTTATGATTAGCTGTGTTAACGAGATGATGTGATGAACTGCTGATGATTGATGATACTTGATACTTGAGACCAGCATAAAATCAGGGAGAAAATCATTGCATTCCAGCGCTTTTTGTGTATTTATTGTCTCTGAGCACACGGTGTGTCTTGATTGTACACACATTGTTCCTGATTAACAAAGGCTTCTAATTAATGATATTGTATTGTCAGTGGTGATGATGGCTGATTGCAGCAGGGACGCACACACTATTGACCGATATAGTATAACATGTTCTTAAGTTTAGTTATGCTGAGGTTTGGTTTTTGGTATATACAGAAAGATATTTCAAACATGCAACTGACTGGTGTAATGCATTCCTGTTACTTGAAACTTTCTCCTCCATTCTGGATGGTTTTAATTGTGTGCTTGTGGTCTTCCTGCATATTGTGCTGTTACAGTCTTGCCTTCGGTTTTCCTGTTGGCTTTCTTATCTCTGCTCTGCTTCCTGATGATTACGTCTATTATAGTAGAGCTGTTTCTTAATTGTACTGCATGTTACAGACTAACGATAGATAGATAATAGATAAAAATAACAAATAAATAATACAAATAACACAGTTCTATAGCAAGTATAAAACAACAATGTAAGCTTAATTCAACTTAATTCATATTTATAATATATAAATTGGGTCTTTAGGCAAAGCAGTGTAAAATTAAAATTAAAATAGATTTTGAAAAGTAGATTAAAACAATAAATAAAGAGATTAAATCATAAATAGTAGAATAAAATGAGATTAAAATAAATCAAAAAATTAAGTAGAATTGAATAAAACAAATTAACTACCTAACTAAATAAAATAAAAAATAGATGAAAAGAAATAGATGTAAAAATGACATTAAAATAAACAAATAAATAATACATGGAACAGTAAAGTACTATATGCTAATAGTAAAAAAGTTAATCTATTTTAATAGAAACTTGATATTGTCCAGATTAAATTTAATTTTATAATGTTATCTTTTCACAGTATAAATTGTTTTTTTTTTAGGCAAAGCAGTGTAAAATTAAAATAAAATGAATAAATAAAAATAAATAACAAGTAAGATTAATTAATTAATTTAATATTAATTAAAAATAATAAATTACTCAATAACTTACTAAACTAAATAATAAAAATATTCATATACATTTAAAAATGCCATTAATATATTAATATTTTTTATAATACATAGAATAGTACAGTAGTATAGTGAGTAGAAAAATTATAAATTTTACACATATTTATAATATTATTTTCTCACAGTAGACACTGCGTCTTTGTGAATAAACATACGTAGCAGCCTTTTTGCTCTCACGAGGATGATCATATCTGAGTGCTGGGTTTAGTTTAGTTGGCCTCACCCAATCAACATGAGAGTCCAGAAGTGCCACACCAGCGCATGATGCATGCTGGGTAATAATCGGAAAAAGAGCAGGATCCGCTCGCTCACACTCGCACACACACAGACAGACGGACAGCGAGCGCGGGATCTCACCGGCGCCGTGCCGTTGTGTCCGGGAGATGCTCCAGATGGTCGCCGCCGGTGCGCGGGATGCGCTCGTGAGGATGCGACACATCACCCCGGACTCGTGAGGTAAGATGAGGACTGACAGCTGCGCGACTGCTAGCCGTTAGCATCGAGGCTAGTGCTAATGTTAGCCTGCTAGCATCGCCCGTGTTAATCAATGGGTTCTGAAGCTACACTGAGCCCGGATGCTAACAGATCGAGTTTGCTCTTCTGAATCACTCGTGAAACAATAACACGACTCTTATGGCAACTGCATGCCATTGTTTAGACAGAAGCAGCTCAGTTTGACTGATTAAAACACCGTATTTTATGCTGTCAGGTGTAATTGCACTGCTGTGGTCAGGCTAACGGCTAGCAGCTAGCCGTAATGTAAACATCCCCAAAACCGATTTGATTTTGTCCGAATGACTAAATGTCAGTAATTCAGTTTAATCCAGATTTAATCTAGGATAAGCATAGTTTAGGCTAAACTAATCTCCTCGTCAGGTTTATATAGTTATAATGAGTAGTTTGATTAGTTTATGTGCTGAAGGCCTGGTGTTTCTTAACAGCTCTGATATTAAAATAAGATAATTGATTTAATAACTTTACTCCTAAAGTGTTACTACACTTTAGGAGTAAATTACTACATGTAGTAATTTACATAGGAGTAAATTACTACATAATTTACATACATGTACATTACTACATAACAGTCTTGATATGAGTAATATTAATATTTAATTATAATTATAGATATTTACATATGTAGTGTGTCCGCCTTATAAGAAAATAAGAGTATCACATTTTTAATTCACAATAACAAACTAAAAGAGTAAAATAATTAAATTTTTGTGTTTAAAATAAAATTGTTTTGTGTTTGTGCTAGATTATAGAAATCTCGGGTCGTTAAAATGGTACAAATTGTAGTTTAGCACAATTTACTTTCTGTTTTAATCGTCCTGTTTTTAAAAGGAGCAGTTTCATAACAATCATAAAATAATACACAGTTATGATTATTTATATCAGCTGTTTATATCCCTTTTAAAAGGTTTTATTCTTAAAGGAAAGTTGAGCATTACTGTCAATCCGATCTAATTTATGAAGTTGTGTATTGCGTGACATATTTTTAATTCACAATAAAATAAATCGGTACATAATTAATTTGGAAATCCGTTTATGCTTTCTGATAGCAAAATTGTTTTGTATTTGTGCTATAAGATGTCAGTAAGACGTAGGTCACTTAAGCGGTGTGAAGGTTAGTTGTGGTTTGGCAAAGATCTTGCTGTTTTCACAAGTGTCACTGTCATTGTGTGACCCTGCTTTGAGCAAACAGCACTGCCGAAGCTCCCAGCGCGATACAATAGACCGTTTAAAAGCCCTGTTTTATTTGTTTTGTGCTTTTGCTCTCCTTTGTAAATTATTGCATTCAGTCAGTGTCTGAATTCTTTCCGGATTGATCTGGTTTCCCTGCTCCACTTAAGTCACCACTTCTCCCATTAGCACTTAATTAGCGTCCGATTTGAAGGCAGTCTGTCTTGTTTTCACTCTCGTGATTTGATTTGAGTTAGACAACAAGAACCTGTTCCTCTAATAGGCCCTTGAGCACTATCGTAATGAGTGCTGCTGCTAACAGAGGGCGATTGTTTAGTGGTATTGCAATGGTCATCAGTGGTTTGTATAAAGAAAATAAGCATACATCTTATTCATTCATGTCAAGATTAAGAAGATTTATTGATGTCTCCTCAAAAGCTGCATGATGTGAGGTACTGAAGCACAAATGGTGCGATGATTTACTCACTAGTTTAATATTTAGGGTTAAAAGCATTAACACTTATGCAGAGCAATAGGAATAGTGTTGCTTGTCTTTGCAAACACCAGTAATTAGACGTAGGACGATGCTGATGTAGAAAAACGAGGGTTAAGATCACTAAAGAGGAAGCATGAGTGATAATGCAGCGACTCCCTGCTGTTCTCACTGTTGCGATTAAAACATGCAGCGTTGCAGAAGAGCTGATTTCCTGCTTCTGTGTCAGAAATCATTTCCAAACGATCCTTTGCATTTCACATTAAATCTAATTACAGTTTTGGACTAATCCTGAGGGCTGCACGATTTGGGGAAAAAAAATGTAATTGCAACTTTTCTGATCATTTTAAAACGTGACTTAAAAAAACAATTGTGATTATATATTAATATGACTATAACAATGATCATTTTTATTATTATTATTATTATTATTACTAAATAAAAATATCAATCAAAATAATAATAACTATTACTATCGTAGGATTTTACTGTAAAGTAAAAAATAGCATTTAAGAAAAATATAATAATAATTTAATTTGACAGTATAACTGTGTAACTAATTATGATACTAATATTTATGTCTGTCTTCATTCATGTTAAACAATCAAGCTTTTATTTTGCCGTTTTCACACTGAAACACGCAGCACATGTATTTATTTAATTGAATCATATATTCTGCCATTTACAGTAATCGCTCTAAGCCATGTTGCAATTTCGGTTTTATTTTGATTGTTCATGCATCGCATTTCTTATGCCTGGAAAAGAAAATGTTTTCTCAAACAATCACAAATCTAGTTTTCCTAAAACTTTTGCCAGTGTCTACTTGGAAAATATTGATCCATAAGATTAGATTAAAGGCCCTGAGAATATATTACCTTCTATTTGTACTTATATGTTTTGTTAGTTATTTTCATGATGCTGATCTAAAGTACATTGCTTTGCCACAGGTGTGAGCTCTTGGCTGTGTTTCTGCTCAAGGCCCCATGGAGCCTGACGTGATACGCATGTACTCCTCCTCTCCACCCCCGATGGAGGACGGCAACGAGGAAGATGACGACGAATTCAGCGACTTCACCGGCGTCCCGAACAGCACCAGCTTCTCGGAGTTCGACACGCCCACCACGTTCAACCAGTCTCGGGCTTTGAACGCCACCTCGCCACCGGAGCTACTGAGCAATGGAAGGATCGTGGGACTCTCCGCTCAACCCGCAGGGTCTACGAAAGCTAACGGCGTGACGCCTGGCTCTGGCCAGACCGGCACGCCCAATGGCAGAACGGTTAGCGTAGAGGAACTCAAAAAGTTCAGCGAGCACCAACCTCGCATCACATCCCTGGAGTTCGCAACGGGGTCTCGGACTGACAGTGATGCCTTTGACCGCAATGGCACTGTTGAAGTGCTCACGAACGGGTTTGCAACATTAGACCAAGGTGGAAGCCCGCCTATGTCACACAAAACCAACGAATTTGATGTCAGTACAGATGATTTTGCTGATTTCTCTGCTTTTTCAAATGCTGAACTCAACCAGCCTTCAGATACAGACTGGGAACATTTGAATCAAGGGTACAGACCACCACATAATGATGTTAGCGACAGCGTTGAAGTGCAAGGAGCTAGTTTAGAAGACGACAGCAGGGACTCAAGAATCACAAGATTTGGATTCCCTTCGGAAAACTCTGAAAGTCTCAGCAACGGGGACTGGTCTTTCCATGAAGGCTCGGATTTAGATCAAAGGGAGTTAGAAGCTGATACTACTGAAGTCGTTAGCACAGTGCAACCGCTAGCCCTTAATGGTGTCACTTTTAGCGAAACCGGTGATAACAGGGTGTCGCCCGACTCTAATGGGGATAAATCTAGTGGTGAAC